AAGAGCCATCATGAAGAATTCCCTAGCTACCACCTAAGCTGGAACAAGAGCTGTAAATTAATGGAGATATCCTATCTCCTAGAACTGGAAGGGACCTTGAAAGGTCATCGAGTCCAGCCCCCTGCCTTCACTACCAGGACCAAGTACTGATTTTGCCCCAGATCCCTAAGTGGCCCCCTCAAGGATTGAACTCACAACCCTGGGTTTAGGGGAAAGAATTGTGCCCAGGCCTGGAAGGTGTCCAGTCCGAGGAAGAAACTTACTGAAGCATCTCTAAGGGTGAGATTATCTGTATTTAGTTTGATTAGACACAGATTTGCACATTTTATTTTATTTTGTTTGGTGACTTACTTTGTTCTGTCTGTTACTGCTTGGACCCACTTAAATCCTACTTTCTGTATTTAATAAAATCACTTTTTACTTATTAATTAACTCAGAGTATGTATTAATACCTGGGGGAGCAAACAGCTGTGCATATCTCTCGATCAGTGTTATAGAGGGTGAACAATTTATGAGTTTATCCTGTATAAGCTTTATACAGGGTAAAACGGATTTATTTGGGTTTAGACCCCATTGGGAGTTGGGCATCTGAGTGCTAAAGACAAGCACACTTCTGTGAGCTATTTTCAGGTAAACCTGCAGCTTTGGGGCAAGTAATTCAGACCCTGGGTCTTTGTTGGAGCAGACGGGAGTGTCCGGCTCAGCAAGACAGGGCGCTGGAGTCCTGAGCTGGCAGGGAAAACGGGAGCAGAGGTTGTCTTGGCGCATCAGGTGGCAGCTCCCAAGAGGGTTTTTGTGATCCAACCTGTCACAAGTAGATTCTTTTTTAAAGTTCTGACACTAGGATTTTGAGAGACCCCAGGGACAACTCACCTTTAGTGCCACAGAAGCTGCATCCTGTTTATCCCAAACATGGAGTTGTCCCTTTGTCTGAAGGGACAGATTTCTCTCCGAATTGTATGTTAAGAATGGTTTAGTGAAAAGCAGAGACAGACAGTATTTTTCCTGTCCACAAGATGGTACTACAGCCCCACAATTTCCCTCACCACATGCCATGCAGCAATGTGCTGTTGGTGTAATCCACATCATTACTCATTTTACCCTGTGTGTTTATCAGGCTCCATTTTTCTCTTCAGCCTTTATGAAACCCTCACGTTCCCAGATCTCTCCATGGCAGTCATCTCACAGCCGGGCCTCTCTCCACATGTGCCTGGGGTGAGCGCTACTGAAAAGGTTACTCCTGAAATGTTAAGGGGAGAGGGCAAAAAAAATTGTTACATAGCTCATAAAAATTTCTAGAAATTGTTTTTTAAACTTATTCGTCTGTGCTTTCAGGCATATACTTTCCTGAACATAATCCCATTTTTAAAAACTTATTATTATTATTAATCTTCACTGGGAGAAAATACCAAATTCTACAGGGTTCTTTAATCTAGCAGAAAAAGGCAGAACAAGAATCAACGTCTGGAAGCTGA